GGAGTCTCCTCAGCCTTGTTACTGACCGCTCTCCACACATCTTTCAAGACTGTCCTTGCTTCTTTCAGCAGCTGCAGAAGAAATACGGAGATCTTTATTCCCTCATGATGGGCTCCCACAAAGTCCTTATTGTGAACAACCACCATCATGCAAAAGAGGTCCTGTTCAAAAAAGGAAAAATATTTGCAGGGAGGCCACGAACTGTAATTAAACTGCTTCACTTTCATCATCAGCTGAATTTCACTAAAATATGTATTTTTTTTTAATGTTTACTTTATGTTTGTCTTTAAGGTTACAACAGACTTGTTAACTCGAGATGGGAAAGATATAGCGTTTGCTGACTACAGTTCCATCGGAAAATGGTGCATGGAGCTCTTTGCATGTTTGGTGAAGGTTCAGTTTCTATTGAGAAGATAAGTGAGTATCAATGCAGCCAACATGATATACATATATATATAAAGCAATGCAGATTGTAAAATGCTTCCTTAAAAAAATGCTTCCTAATTCTTACTTTTCGCCTACAGTCTGCAGGGAGGCGAGCTCTATGTGTGACATGTTGACTGACCCAGAACAGTGCTGTGAATCTGGCAGCGGAGCTGACGTGTGCTGTCACAAACGTGGTGTGTGCCTTGTGTTTCATTCCCTCATACAAGCGTGGAGATGCTGAGTTTGAGTCCATGCTCTGGTACAGCCAGGGAATTGTGGACACAGTCGCAAAAGACAGCTTGGTGGATATTTTCCCATGGCTTCAGGTAAACTTTAATACGTGATAATAATGTGTCTTACTCTGTAAGATTCTTAATTGTTTTGGAAAGAAATCTCACCAGGGTTGCATTTATTCAATCAAAAGTACAGTAAAAATAGTAATTTTACCATTAAAAATGACTATTTTCTATTTTAATATATTTTAAAATGTAATTTATTCCTGTGATGAAGCTGAATTTTCAGTAGTATTTTTTTTACTCCAGTCTTCAGTGTCACATGATCCCTCAGAAAGCATTCTAATATGCTGATTTGTTGCTCAAGAACCGCTTTTTATTATCATCAGTGTTGAAAACAGTTGCGCTGCTTAATAATTTTGGGGAAACTGTGATACATTTTTTTTTTCTGGATGCTTTGATGAATGGAAAGTTCAAAAGAATGGCATTTATTTGAAATAGAAACGTTTTGTAACATTATACATGTCTTTACTGTCACTTTTGATCAATTTATGCATGCAGAATAAATGTATTGATTTCTTTAAAATCTTACTGACCCCAAACTTCTAAACCGTAATTCAGCTTTCCTAGTAGTTGCAACTGGTTAGTTACCTAAGCTCTCTTAAAATCATTTTTGTCTTATGCTTTGAATTCTAATACATATGTATTTTTCCCTCCAAGACATTCCCAAATAAAGACCTCAAAATCTTAAGACAGTGTGTTTCAATCAGAGACAAACTGCTTCAAAAGAAATACGAGGAACACAAGGTAAATGTGCATATTCACTATTACAAAAATACAAATGAAAATTCGGAATATTCCCTGGTTGTAATCAACATGAGTCCATAAAAGCTGTGTGAATAATAATTGTAAAACAGTTTTAGAAGGAGTGTAACATTTCAAACCAGGATATGTCAACATATATATGAATTTTAGTGCAGACTCAACAAACAGCAGCTGTCATTGCATATTCCAAAGTGCATTTTAGAAAAAATATGATTTCTTATTCAATAACCTGGGATTTGTCTCCCTCTACAGGTGGATTACAGTGATAACGTCCAGCGGGACCTCTTGGATGCACTTCTGAGGGCCAAAGGCAGCTCAGAGCAGCAGGGACTGGCGCTCTCTCTGGCAGCGGCAGGTCGCAGCGCCACTTCCGGTGGCATCCCCAGATGCCACGGCAGCTGCCAGAGTTCGTGGCAGCTGCCACGGTCTTTCTCGCCGTTTCTGCTGTTTGCTCGGTAAAACTACACTGCCAGCGTTTATTTTTTTTCTACGAATCTTTGAGTTAACATATGTACTAAACATGAGTGGAATTTGCACCACAGCGGCCCCACACCTTGATGCTCATGACAAGAATAGCATGTATAGTTATCTTTATTGAAGTTAATTAGGTTTAAATCGCCGTCATGCATGGATGAATGATATTTTTGCAATTTTACACATAATAATCCACGATGATCACATTACACAAAACTGAAATTGCACGTCAAAATAACACATTGTCAATATTTTTTGAGACCCCCCAAAATTTCACAAATCCCATTTTCAGGGGAGCCCATGTCTTATTAAGGGGAGCCGAGCTCCCCCTAGCTCCCCCGTAGTTCGCACCCTGAGCTTACCTTGTCCATAACCCACCGGTAAATAAAGCTGCTCACGACTGGCTTTACTGAATCAGTCACAGTTTTCTTGTAATGAAACTTAGTAGATATTCTTTGCATTTGACATTAGGTGCAGAGAAAGATTCAGCAGGAGCTGGACAATAAGATTGGAAAAGACAGACACCCTCAGCTCAGTAACAGAGGGAATTTGCCCTATCTAGAGGCCACTATAAGAGAGGTTCTGAGGATCCGACCCGTCTCCCCACTTCTCATCCCTCATGTGGTGCTCAAAGACACCAGGTAAGATTTAAAAAAAACAAAAAAAACAAACGAATATATATTTATTTTATTTAGCAAGGATGCATTCAATTGTTCAAAAGTGAAAGAAAAGACATAATGGTACAAAACGACATCAATAACAAGAAATGTTTTGTGAGCAGCAAATCAGCATATTAGAATGATTTCTGAAGGATCATGTGACTCTGAAGACTAGAGTAATGATGCTGAAAACTCAACTTTGCATCATAGGAATAAATGACATTTTAAGATGTATTCAAATAGAAGTTTTTTTTAATCAATTGTAATATTTCACAATATTATTGTGTACTGTATTTTTGATCAAATAAATGCAGCCTTCATGAGCACTTCTTTAAAGAGTCTTCTTTAAAAAATGTTAAAATATCTTACCGACCTTATCTTAATAAATAGCAAATAATATCTTAATTATTTGCTATTTAATTTTGATCTTTAATGCTCATTGCTTGAAAAAAAGCACAGAAATTAGGGTTTAAAACTTCCAAATTTGAGGGTTGCCAAAATTTCAATAGTTCATATAAAATACTGCCCAGTCGTGATGTCTTCTCTGCTCTCTTTGACAGCGTGGGAGAATACACTGTGCAGAAAGGAACCCGAGTCATTATTATCCTGTGGTCTTAACATCACGATGAGAAGGAATGGAAGAATCCTGAGCTGTTTGACCCAGGTGAGGATCTGTAGTGATAACAAAAGTTCATCTGAATCTGTGAACATTACCAAATACACTGAATCCTCTAATCCGATAGGACGCTTTCTGAATGAGGAGGGTGATGGTTTGTGCTGCCCATCGGCCAGCTATCTGCCATTTGGCGCAGGGGTGCGAGTTTGTCTCGGCGAGGCCCTGGCAAAGATGAAACTCTTCCTCTTCTTGTCATGGATTTTGCAAAGGTTCACGCTAGAGATGCCCGCTGGTCAGCCTCTGCCTGATCTCCAGGGCAAGTTTGGTGTGGTTCTTCAACACAAGAAATTTTAAAGTCATTGCCAAACTAAGAGCAGACTGGGAAAAAATCCCACTAATGCAGCAATGCTGAGTAAATGTATTGTGTGTGTCTTTTGTACTCTCGAGACGTTTGTGAGAGAATTTGTTTTTATGAAGCCTGCTATCAAATATCACAAATCAAACATGAATAAAATGAATATCTTGAGACAGTGTAACTCCATGATCAACATTAACTGAATAGAGTGCAACAATCAGGTTCTGGAGATAAAAATCTCTTATTTTCTCCATGGGAAATTGACTTTTAAATGAATTGTTAATCGATGGTATATGCCTTTGTTGAAGTCATCAGTCTGCATTATTTCAACTAATTGTTTAATCATGGAATTCCAGATGAAAAAGTACATTACCCAGCAGGGCCGGGTCCAAGTACAAAATGCTATAATTTTTGCACCTATAGGTGAAAAATCTTTTGATTTGCCTTGTTGCATGTTGCATTTAGCTAACAGCTTTTTTTAATCTCTGTATTTTAGCATTTGTTGATGCTGAAAATCAGTTATACTGGGATCCTAGTCTAAAAAAAAATATTAAAAACGCAAAACACACCTGATGCGAATTCTTTGCTCTTCATTTTCTATAAGCAGAGTTAACAGACCCTGTTGTATTTTCTTGTAATTTATTAAAAGAAGGTACACCGCCATCTTGTGCCGACTAAACTGACTTGAACGCACCTGACTCGTAATTACGACTTGTCAACTCGTAAAAGTACGAACGTCCCAGGAGGACTTGAACGCAGCATAAACACATATTTAACATTTCTGCACTCACACAGACACAAAATGCAAGACTGAAAATTGAGTAAATAAAAGTAAACTATGAATATATTACCCTAGAAAGTGCTGCCCTACCACAATTTCTGATTGCCCCCCCAGTCCAGCGAGCCTAGTACCGGGCCTGTTACCCAGAATTCTGCAAAGAAATCTCCACCAATCAGAGAATCAAAGCAAGCAAAAAAAAAAAGAACACTTTAGCACCCACCCACTCCCATGAAGCACTACAAATGACTTCTCAAATACTTAAAATATAAATGCATATTTATATGTATACTTTACAATAAATGTAATGTCTTCTATACACAATCAATATCTTTAAATCATGTTATTTTCCCACCATTTTTTAGTAATGCCAAGCTATTCTTTCCCTCAATAAAGCTGTTAAGTACACAGTCTTGTACATTTATCTTTTTGTCCAATTTTCTTTCTTTTTTTTTTCTTTTGCTTCAAATCAAAGTTTGTGATGCTGTGATTCATCTAGTCTTTAACAAGAACTTTTTAAAAATCCCTATGGGGAAAAAAATGAATAAGAAAAAAATACATTCAGAACAAAGGTTCCTGAAGAAGGCAGGCACTGTCATTTTGGATGCGTAATTGAATCACTCACAGAAATCCATTGGTTTTAACAGCTTTTTTTTATTCATACGGAACATTCTTTGATACTCATTAATTTGGTTGAGTCTTCTTATAAAATGCGAAAAATACAGTTTTATATATAAAAAGAAAGTGACTATGGATACAAAACTAAAACGTAGTACCAGGCTGGAATTAAAGCTTAAGAGAAAAAAAAAAGCAATTGGCTTGCAAAGCCTTCGTCGCCTTCAAACACACAAACACACTCACTGCTCAGTGTCAAAACAGTGCAATGACAACTTTTTCAGACAAAATGAATGAACATCTCATTCACAGTGAGCTACCCAACATAGTGACTCAAATTTCCACTTTTAATCAATACCTTTGGTCTCAAACATCAAAGGACGATAGAAAACAATGTTGACTAGAGCGACATGAGCACCATTACTGCGATAGATGACTTGTTCTCTTTACTGTTTTCGTAGCTTCATGCTTTCACTTAATCGGTCAAATGTTATGATGCTATAACTGGTCCAAATCATTTCAAATGCTCAATATTAGGTTTAGCCAAACAATACTGCTACATAAATATTTCTGAAGGCACTACGTCAATGTTAAAATCTGCCTCCCAAACCGGTTTTTCCAGCCAACACACTAGGAACCTAAATTACCAGCCACATCACATTTGAAAGAAAATTAGCCACCATTTACACAGAAACACTCTGATCTGAAGATCAACAGGGCTGAAAAGCCATCTGTGCCCAAGCTAAGACTATTATAGAACAGCTAACTGCTAATCCAAACCAAAGGTCAAACAAACACAGTGGGCTGAAGAACGATCCACTTAAAGGAACCTACAATGACACAAACACACTCACTCACTCACTCACTCACTCACACACACACACACACACACACAGTGTAGGGAATGCAGTGGAGCAGCTTTGGACAGTCTCACCGCCACAGAAAAACAAATCTCAATCTCACCATGAACCCGACGTAAGTGCTACACTAACATGACAGTAACCTTACCTGATCTGCTACAATAAAATGCAAATTAAAAGCGTAATAAGGCCTATACATAAGTTACTGTTAGTGGTGCAAGAGTTCCATTACAGTGTTAAGATACAAAAACAACTTAAAAGCACTATGGGAGAATAATGAAATTCCATATTTAAATGATATGTTTCGATGGAAGGCTTATTAAGTGATCCTTTCAAACAAGACGTTACCACTGACCAAAATCTTCACTCATACTGGCCCTTAATTATTTTAATGCAGAAATTCTACAACACACACTCTTCTCTTTAAGGCATATGAAAACTACTCAAATCAACAAAGGCACCTAGAGTAAATGTACAAGCTGGGTTCAGTCTATACAAAGGTATTTTCAGCCTTCATTTAAAGAGTCTTTGCACAATGAACTTCAAAATGTACTACTATATAGCATGTGGATCTATTCAGTTTATGCAAATAATCATGCAAAAAATTGGATAAAGCCCGAGACCATGTTATACAATGATGAGACAAACCAAACGGCAACCATACCCTGTTAGGTAGGGAGCATGGTCACTTATTGATACAAAAAATATATATTTGAGATAATTACTTTCCTTCACTTTTCTGAATAGCATCATGCAGCTACTCCAGATGAAACATTTTTGGAAAAAAAAGACAAGAAATAAAAACAAGAAACAACAACTGAATATTAAAGCTCTGAAGTATTAACAGACTGCTCTGTGGCCAACTTTTCCTTTTTTTTGTGCACAATATATAATCGATAATTCACCAAAAAATTACTCATCTTCATATCGTTTCAAATGTACAAGACTTTTGATTTTCTTTTAAACAAAAATAAAGATACTTTTAATCAAACCTGCATAATTTCTGTACTTCCTTTGAAATTTATTTAAGCTTTTATTCACATATAAACACTGATCAAGGAACCCATAGAAACAGAAGTTCAACTGTACTTGCTTGATGTGTAAGAAGAAACGTCACTGGTTCTCGTGCATCACGTTTGTTTCATCTTTTATTTACCATATTTGATGTGCTCTATGTACTGTATATGCATATGGATTTATTTTACAATCTTGAACTTTTTGAAGCATCAACTTTTAGTGGAATAGACTTTTTTAAATGGATCTCTCGGGTTTTATTAAAAATATCTTTGTGTTTTAAAGATAAACCAAAGTCTTGTGCGTTTGGAATGCCATGAGAGTGACTAAATAATGACAGATCTTTCATTTTTGGGTGAACTGTCCCTTTAAGTATTTTAACATGTTATTAAAGGTAAGAATTCAGGAACAAAAGCCAGCACAAATCAGTATCCCCCGACCTTGAGTGCCATCTTCATCTCAGGTGGAGGCAATCAGCCCTCAAAAACCAACAAAAAGCCTACAGGCATGTCACTCAGAGCTTGATAAGGCTATAAACTGAGGAAAATTTCCCGTGGCTTTGATCATGACCTCCCTGTGAGACAACAGACCTATTAACGTCTTTACTAGATTACCCTATTAATCCATAAAAACCGTAAGGACTCACACATTAACGCCCTTTTAAAACTCTCTCTCACTCTCACACACACACACCCAAAGTGACACTGCTGACAGTACAAACTGATGTATCTTGAGAAAGTAAAGGGAGACAGCAGTCTAAAGTAAGTCTCTGCTGGAACCAGTTGTGCTCAACTCTGGGGGTCCGTGTTATTAGCGTGATGTGGACCGTCCTGTTCGTTGATGGTGTGCAGATGGAGGCAGACTGGAGGTCGCTGATGCTCTCTTTGCTCTAGAGGCACATCTGAGGCAGCCAGGCCCTGTTCCTCATCCCCCGGACCACGAGGAGGGTGGCTGCTGCTGCGGGGGTTGCAGCTATCACAGAAGTCCTGCTGCTCGAGCACCCCTCCATCCATGTGCCCCACAAGCTCTTTCATCTCCTCCTCTTCCTCTCCGTCCCTGGGCCCCTGGTTGCAAATGCATACCTCAATCCCAGAGTCACCTGTGAAGCGCCGGTGGCGTCCCGGAGTCTTTTCTTTGCTTTCGGGAGAACAGTCTTCTACGGGTTCAGTCAGATCCTCGCCGGAGCTGCCCTGTTTGACCGGGCTGTGTGAGGTAGCGCACGTCACCTGCTGGGGCTGCCCGTCCTCTTCTCGGCTGAGGTACTGTGGTTTGTGGGTGTTTCTGACAGGGCGGTGTGCAGTGGGAGTATGTGACTGCTCTACGCAGGGTCGCGGGGAACAGTTGTCAGATGCAGACGGGATGACGGGGCTGGACTCCAGTGGAGTGCAGAGCTCATCTGGTTGTTCAGAGCACAGGGGGTCAGTGCTGGTGGACTGGCCTGGCTGAGAGGCACTGTACGGAGGCGGGGGCGTCGGAGGTCTGTTCTCGACTTCCTCGTATGCGGGTAAGAGGTAGCCAGGCAGGAACCCTGGAGAAGAGGACGAAGAAATGCATTTATTGACTGACCATGACTAAAGCAAACATTTTTTCTAAGGAGCAATGAAAAGATCTAGTAGTTATATGAAAGGTTATAGAACCTTTAACATAATCTTCCCAATCACCCTATTTCTTCAGCAGCACATTAGTGTCTGCACTTGTCTGATACAATGTCTGTGGCCAAAACTAAATTGCACCTTAGGAGATTAATTCATGTTGTATTGTATTGATTAGAGGTAGAACAACTGAATGAAGTGGGTACTGACTGAAATAGAAGGGTAGAGATGTGTAATTATGGGCTTCTCTGTAAGCGATGAGGTTGATCTCATGCTGCCGCTGCTGCTGTTGCAGTCTGTGTTTGGCTCGACGGTGGTGACACACACAGCAGCAGCCCAGAATGATGATGAGAGTCAGAACCAACCAAAACCCTGATTAAAGAGCACACACATAACACAGGACTGTTAATGAGTGAAGAGAACATCATGTCTGAACCAGGCACAACACACCATAAATCACAACTCTTCTATATTAATCGGAGTCGTTGTCACCAGTGTTGCCTGACCAGACATTTTGTTAATTGCTTGGTTTCTAATGGTTTCATCATTGTGTCTTGTCTTAAAGCTCCACCCACAGTCAAATCTTGATTGGCTGCACGCTGTGTACACAACTTGTGAAAACTTTGGGGTTGGTATGATTTTTAAAAAATGTTTTTGGAAAAAGTCTCTTATGCTCATGAAGACTGCATTTATAATATACACATTACAGTAATACAGTAGGCATAAAGTAAAAAATACAGTAAAAACAGCAATATAATGAAACAGTATTACAATTTAAAATAACTTCCATATTTTAATATATTTTGCAATTCATTATATTCATATATTTTGAATTCAAGTGCAATTCATTCCTGTGTTGGCATAGCCGAATTTTCAGCAGCCATTACTCCAGTCTTCAGTGTCACATGATCCTTCAGAAATCATTCTAATATGCTGATTTGCTGCAGCCTGCTCAAGAAACATTTCTTGGTATCAATGTTGAAAACAGTTAAATATTTTTGTGGAAACTGTGATGCACTTTTTCAGGATTCTTTGAAGGATAGAACTTTCAAAGGAAGAGCATTTATTTGAAATAGAAATATTTTGTAGCAATGTAAATGTCTTTGTCGCGTTTGATCATTTTTAAGTATCCGTGCTGAATAAAAGTATTAATTTCTTTAAAAACAAAACAAAATAAAACAAAACAAAACAAAAAAAAGTCTACAAAACACTTCCATACGGAAATGTCTTCTCCCAAAACAACCTAACAATCTGGCACCAGATCACAGGAGAAGAATGTACTGGACATTAGGGTGTGACGCTCATCAGCCAACGGTTAAGAGTGGTGCGGGTCAATGTCATGTGAGATCCAAGTGTGTGAAACTTTGCCTCAAATAAAGCAGAGACTTTTCCTGGCAGACGAGGG